AAAAACTCAAACCAAACACAATTGCTATTAAGTCCAATTCATATGAACTCTAGAGGATGTAGTAGAGCTGCCATATGGTTTCAAAAACTGCATATTTATGGAAGCAAGCTGCCATATCTTCCTCCCACAGAGTGGCTGGTAGGATCAAACCATCAATCCTCCAGTTAGTAGTTGAGTGCTTAAAAATTATGCCACTGGGGAACTGCCAGAAATTCAAAGTGAATTCAGAAGAGGATATAGATTGAGAGATATCATTGCCAATGTCAGATGGATCTTGACTGAAAGTAAGGAATACTAGAAAGATGTTTACCTGTGTTTTATTGACATGTGAAGGCATTTGACTGTATGGATCATAACAAATTATTGATAATATTATGAAGAATGGGAATTCAAGAACACTTAATTGTGCTCATGAGGAACCTATACTAGACCAAGAGACAGTCATTTGAGTAGAATAAGGAGATATACATGGTTTAAAATCAGGAAAAGTGTGCATTAGTGTTGTGTCCTTCCACCATATTTTCCTGTATGCTAAGGAAATAATCCAAGAAAGAAGAATGCAGGCTCAAGATTGGAGGAAGACTCATTAACAACCTGCTATATGAAGATGAGGTTGGGCAATCCTACTTCCGTAGTGATACTGCCTCGGAAACCCAAGGAGGGATCGCTATGAGTCGGGGCCGACTCGACGGCATATAACAACAACAACAACATATGAAGATGACACAGCCTTACTGGCTGAAAGTGAAGAGGATTTGAAGCACTTATTGATGAAGGTCAAAGACAACAGCCTTCAGTATAATTGCAACTCAAATATAAAGAAAACAAATATCCTCACAACTGGACAAATAAATGGAGAAAAGATTGGAGTTGTCAAGGATTTATATATATATATAGATAGATAGATAGATAGATAGATATAACCTCTACAATAAACATCCACAGAAGCATCAGTCAAGGAATCAAATGATACTGCATTGGGAAACTGCTGCAAAAGATCTCTTTGAAGTGATAAAAAGCAAAAATATCAGTCTGAGGACTAAGTTTTGCCTGACACAAGCCATGATATTTTTAATCACCTCATATGGAGCTCTGGTAGCATAGTGGCTAAAGCACTTGACTGCTAACCAGAAGGCTGGCGGTTCAAACCCACCAGCCACTCCTCGGAAGGAAGGTTGGGCAATCCTACTTCCGTAGTGATACTGCCTCGGAAACCCAAGGAGGGGTCGCTATGAGTCGGGGCCGACTCGACGGCACATAACAACAACAACATATGCACATGAAAGCTGGACAAAGAATATAGAAGACTGAAGAAGAATTGATGCCTTTGAATGATGGTGTTGATGAAGAATATTGAATATATCATGGACTCCCAGATGGTTAGCAAAAAAGAGGAAGACGCTCACCAAGAAGAATTGCCACAATGGCAACAAAAATGGGCTTAAGCATAGTAATGATTTTGAAGATGACACAAGACCAGGCAATGTCTCATTCTGTTTTCTCATTCTGTTGACTCATTACTATGAGTCAGAACTTAACTAGACTGCACCTAACAACAACAACAACATTTATATCTTACAAAGTATATAGATTCCTTTTAGCATCAGGTTTTCACAAGTCATGTACTATCTGTCTCATAAAGTGCATGACATGATGTGATTCTAGGAATCTGATTTCTTATATTAATGTGATTAACTGTTTTAAGACTATAGTAAAAGTGTACCCATAAGCATATACTATAAAAAATAGAATTTCAGAGTGAACAAAGAGGATTAAGTAAAGCATGAGTTGACTTTTACAGTTAAAAAAAAAAAAAAAAAATCCTGGGGAGGAAATTTATAATGATGTTCTTTATAATTGTTCTGAAAAAACCCATCAACTCTAAGGAAGTTATAACAGGCCTAATTAATGCTCAAATTGTTCCTCCTGAGAAACAGAGTTTTTATGTAATGTAAATGGGCTTCATAGGAAATGTTCTTGTTCTTGTTCTATGCTTTCCTACAGATTATTAACATGTAGCCCTTCAAAATAGGAAATGAAGTTTTGTGTTCTTCTGCTTTTGATTTTGGCTTCTTGCTTTTGTTTTAAACTTATACTACACAAATAAGAAGGCAAATAAAACATGAGGAAATTCATAACTTTTTGAATTAGCAGTATTTTAAAAACAATAGTTGTGTGTGGTTTGAACATAATCAATTGTAAACATATGTTTAATTCATGGAATATTTGAAGGAAATATAATTTTAGTTACATTAAAACAGTTTTTACTTTTTCAGTAGCTGTCTTGTCACATCCGTCTGCATGGTCATGAATTCTGGCTCTGCCACTCTCTAACCATGTGACATGGAGCATTTAATTTCTCTAAAACTCAGTTTTCTCATCTGTAGAAAAGTAAGACTTACATCTTGGGTTATTCTGAGAAGTGAATGAGATAATATATTTTTTAAGTGGTTAGCAGAGTCCTTGGGCCTTCATAAGAGTTTAAATCATAGTAAATATTCGATTGCTTTGTTTTTCACACTATCATTCATAGGTGTTCAGTTGTGACAGAAATTTAATGTAGAGTAATCATTCTGTTATATTCTGAAATGTAAAATGCCCACATCTCTCTAAATTATAGCTACTTCCATCCTTTAAAAAATAAAATTTAGTACACTAATATTCTGTGCAACATTTTTCACAATACCGAAAGGTGGAGACCATCCAAATGTCCATTAACAGATGAATGGATACACAAAAGTTATTATATACATACAATGGAGTATTATTCAGCCATAAAGGGACATGGAGTTCTGATATATGCTATGATATGGATCAACCTTGAAAATGTTATGCTAAATGAAATAATCCAGACTCATATTGTATGATCCCCATTAGATGAAAAATCTAGAATGGACAAATGCATGCAGACAGAAAGTAGGTAAGTGGTTATCATGGTCTGCAGTGTATCATGGTCAGGAGTTTTTGCTTAATGGTGCAGACAGAGTTTCTGTTTGGGGTAATTAAGAGTTTTTCAGTAGCATGATGGTTTCATAATATTGTGTAGTTGTATAATGCTACTGAATCGTACACTTAAAATGCTTAAACTAATTTTATGTTAAATATATTTTACCAAAATAAAAAAATTTAAATAAAAACCCTCATATGTATACTCCTAGCTGTCCTATTCCTCTGACCAGAACCACACTTCTTACAAGGGCAGTTGAACTATCTCTGTATCTTCAGTTCTAGTTCTTCCATCTCCCATTGCACGCTTGAGCTTCTTATATACATATACATCATGAAATCTATTACTGTAGAATCTACTACCACTTCTTTCTGAAAAATCATAGATATATATTTCTTCTCCCCTGTCTCTCTCTTTCCTATCATCTTCCCATTCTCCATTCAGCAACTTTTTACATGTGTTTTCAGTAAATTCTCTCCACCAACATTTACCCAGAAACAACAAAGTACCAGGTAATCTATCAGACAAGCAGAATGCAGCACAATTTACGTACTCTGAAGGTTTTAAGAAATCTAGAAATAACATCTGATTCATCCTCTGATTTTTAGATCTTTGTTTCATTTTCATTCACCCGTGACTTTGTTTTTTTTCTTTATTGGCTGCCATTTAATATATGCTAGGTATTCAACATCTGGAGAAATGTGATAGAAATTAATTTTGCTTTGCTACATTTTGTCTGTTTGGTTTATTGCTTCTTTGAATAAATTTAGAAAGTAGATGAGGAGGGACACTGAAGTCCATATTGTAATTTTGAATTTGGAGTGATGTTGGGCCATCTGGGTGAACATGTCCTACTGGGAGTTACGCATGTGGCTCTGCAGTCTGCATCTGGCATCAAAATTGGAGAGGGGTATTTGAAAGCAATCACCATAGAAGTGCATATCTAAATCCGTATTCTTTAAGTTCTAACTCAAATCTGAACTATAATTATAGAATCCCAAGTATACTTTTATTGGAAGAATCCTAAATTTTCTGATTTAATTTCTCTACACTCTAGAAATTGTTCTGTATTTTCTGACATATGTTCATTCAAACTTAAAACTATCTTTTGCAGTGTCTTTAAATTATCTATTCATTTAACTATTTATTGAGGACATAATCCATAACAAACATTGTGCTGGTCATTGGAAATAATATATGGTCGAGATAGATATGGATTCTACCATCCTGAAGCTTCAATCCAATTGGGGAGAGCACTGTCAGTCAAATAATCATAAAATAACTATAATTAAAATAAGTTATGAGTAAAAGAAAGCTCTGGCTTAGTGTGGGTTCATGGAGTCCTCCCTGAAGGAGTGGTATGGACTGTGACACTGAGAATGGGTAATATTACCCAGATATAGAGGGGAAGGACTTTCTAGGTAGTAAAAAGGAGCTGTGAAAACCCTAAAGCAAAGGAGGAAAAGTGTCAAACTTGGGGAAGAGAGAGAAAACCTACGTGTTGAAGCACAGTGAACAAAAAGGAAAAAATAGCAGATGAGGCTGTAGTGAGAGCAGGGGTGAATGATGGTTGAGTCAACTGAATGAATGTTACTCCAACCACAACTTGACTTCCTCCAGGGCCAAAACTATGTTCAGGTAGCACATCCCACAGTTAGAAAAATGAACACATTAAGCTGCCTTTTCTTTTGTTATATCCCACGTCACTCCTTGACAATGCAACCTTCTGGATCTAATTTTTAAAAGCTATATTGAGCTATTATTGATAGGCAGTCAACTGAACATATTTAAAGTGTGCAACTTGATGAGTTTTAACATATGTATATACCCATGAGACCATCTCCACATTCAATTAATGAAAATACCCATTGCTCCAAAAAGTTTCCTCATACCCCAGCCCTCACTGCCCTCATCTTCAGGCAGTGATTGATCTATCATGCCTGGAACAAGGTCTGGCATCTAAAATAATATTTATTGAGCAAATGTGAACAGAATCCAGTTGAAGAATTAGTTCTTGGTCTTAATATTTGCATGGTTGCTCCTTCTTTTCTAGGTATGCAGTGCAATTCAGAATCAGGATTTCACTGTAATCAATGACTACTGCACTGGTCTCAAAGCCCTGCTTTATCTGAAAAGCATTGAAGAACTACAAAACTGGGATGGACAGAGTCCAGCCACAGTGCGTCACCAGAAAGGCAAACCAGTTCCACGTATTGCTGAACTTACTGGAAAGGTATGTACTCCCCTCTCCCTGAGAACTGTACCTCAGTCCGTCATTACTCCAGGTGTTGTTTGCCCTCTTACAGTGCTCACTAACAGAGGGAAACACTGCTGTTGGATGTGATTTCTACAGTAGAATCATTCTGAAGGAGCCTTGATTACAGCTATAAGATGGGTCTGTGAGTTACCTTTTTATACAACCAATATAACATAAAGTCATGAAAAAAAGAAAAGAAAAGAAAAAGATTGAAGTTTGTAGTACAAAGTGCCTCCAAATGCTTGCTTACGCTGCTGATGACTGGCATTCTTTTCAGTGGGAGTCTGGAGATTTCTTTATTCTCTAACAAGCTCTGGAAATTATAACATTACCTTTCTATTTTCAAGACAATCAAATCACTAGAGTCCTGAATAATATGATGATGTTTTTAAAATTAAATTCTCATCAGTATCTTTTGTAACTGCTTCTGCTATGTGGTTAAACCTGGGCTCAAAAGGTTATGTCCTAACTTTCTCACTAACTGCTATTTTCAGAGAAATATACACTACATTTACATTTTGTATAATACAGTGATTTGAGCAACTCTTTTCTAAAACAACATTCAGCATTTTGCTTTTGTGTTTCCTTTGTATTATTCCAAATAGACAACCATTGTCAGAAGACATTTCTGAGTTTTGAATGAGAGAAGGAAAAAATTACAATTCTTAGTCTTTTCGCCTTGTCACCACATCAATAATTAACTTTAAAAAAAGAGAGAGGCAGTATAAAAAGATTCTTTAAGGAAGCATTTAATAATTCAAATGAATCTTAATTTGAAACAGGTCACATGAAAAAGAATTGAAAACAAAAACCCTGGGTATTCTTCCTTGGATGGCTGGGTTAGGGACACAGAAAGAATAAAGGAAATGTCACATATTTGACTTTCATTTGACTAGTTTTAGTGGAAAATATCACTGTCCCTTTACTAGCAGTCAAAGACAGGTCCAGTAATGAAAAACAAAGGGGGAAAGAAATAAAATCTTTTAGTGTGGGTTCCAGGAAAATATGATGAATGACTCCATGAGTGGCAATCAAACAGAAAGGCTAGGTGACATTAATATTTATAATATTGTAATTAGCAAGACTATGCCTAAGCAGCATTATTAGTCTAACTAATCATATTATCATAAACTGAGTCTGCAGTATTTAGACAGTGAGTATTCTTGCATTTATCAATGACTATCAACAGGGCTATCGATATTTGAAGATTTTTCATAGCTAAAAAATTCACAAGTGACTTTACATTCTTTCCATGTAAATATCTCAAGGACATTGTTTCTGACATGATAGTTTATGACCGTCTATAAAGGCATTGTCTCAAATTTGAGTGGTTGTCATGTGAGCTGCAATGTAAGTAGCTGCATTGCACTGTGCCATTTTGCCTTTAAAGGATTTCACACTCATTTCTCAGAACTTACATATTCAAATAAAAGATGGATAATGATGAGGACACTTGTGTCAATGACATAAATGGAAATTGATTTTCAGAGAGTTTGAATCTGGATTCAGACTTTCTTTACTTGGGTTGGTGTGGTAAGCTCACCCTTCATCGTAATCATAAGTGTAATGGTAATAATCATTATAAAAAAAAAAACATTCTGCCGCCTATGTGATTATATTAGTGATTCATTTCTCAACACTAAGTTCAGGAAGAAGCAGATGGTCTGGTAATAGATTTGTGCTCTTGGATTCTCTAGTGCTGGCTGACATGACTAAAACAATAGGTGAATATCCCCTTCAGGTTAATATTCCTAATACTGAATCAAAGCACTCTGGATCCGAGGTACAGGTGGTTGCCTAATTGTTCCTTCTTTGTGTCACTCTTACATGTGTGTGTGAGTGTCAGTGTGTATTCTTTGAAAAGAATTTGCACTATGTTCTCATTAGATAAAGAATAGGACACTTCTCTTTACAGTGTTTTCATGCTATATGGAAAACAAGAGAAGATGCATTCCCTTTTTACAAAGACTCTTTAGACCTGCCTGGCTTCTTTACACAGGACAGATTTGTTTGGAAAGGAGAGTTACTCAATCTTTTGCCCATAGATCAGGCTAGAGTAAATTAGATATTTAGAAGAAACCAACTGTAATGCAGTATTATAAGATGGAGAGAAAATCAGACTTTGGATACGGAAAACAAGAATTTGGCTAAGTTATTCACTTCATATTTTAAGTAATAGTATATTTAATATATTCTCCCCATCCTTTGTAAAATAAAAAAGGAGCTGGTGGTATTATAGTTAAGTGCTTTGTTGCTAATCAAAAGGTCAGCAGTTCAAACCCACCAGCCACTCCACAGGAGGAAAGACCTGGTAATAGGCTTACATAAAGATTAAAGCCTACAAAACTCTGGGGGACAGTTCTACTCTCTCCTCCAGGGTTGCTATGAATTGGAATTGACTTGATGGCACACAACAACCCTATGCTTACATCACTTATAAATTGATTAAACTTCCCAAACATTTTTTCAGATGGCTTCAGAAAAAAAAAAAGAAAATATCTGTAGTTTGTTCTGATCTGATGGTGCAAGTAGGTTAAATCTATGCCTGCATGAGTGAAAGCAAATCCCATGGGAAGAGCAAACACAACTTTATCATCCCTCAGAACTGTTGACCTCGAATTATTGGTGATTAAGAATTCACATGTGACATAGCTTGTGAAAAATGTAGATTCCCTAGGCCCCATCCCCAGAGATCCTGATTCAGTGGGTCAGAAGGGGGCCCAGGAATCTGCATTTTCACCCTATGATTCTGATGCAGTGATCCAGAGACCACATTGCCAAAAGGAATGAAGAAGGGAATTGCAGTAGAAAAGTCAGACAATGAGAAGTTAGTGGTGAGCAACTACTCACCACTAACTTGAGAATGCAAGTTGAGAATGCAAGTTGAGAATGCAAGCTTATCTTGATGTAAGTGTCTAGCAATGCATGACTTCAAGCTGGAAGAGAATTGAAAAACTCAGAGATGCAAGGGAGGAAACCCAGAGAAGCATCACACTGGGTTCTCAATGGCCAGAGTTTGAAAATACCCAAAAGGAACCAGGGTCAGGGAATTGGTACACCAGTTGGATCAAAGCCACATAAGCAAGAACTATGAGAACAGAGATTTTGCTATCAATGACATTATATCCAAAGTCTGTGCAGATAGTCAACAGTGAGGAAACCTGTGAGGATGAGGAAGCAAAAGGGTATTCACAGTATCATCACAACGAAGAAATAGTCTCAATAGCAAAACAATGTGTTATGTTAAAACTCGGTTACCTAAATCCCCCCTTCTTCCTGATGAGTACCTAGTATATAAATGTGAAGTAAAATGCAGATGTATGGGGGACAGTATAAAAGTTACTAGCAAGCTTAGAGTAAGACTGACAGACACACATGATGCTTCATTGCTTACTAGCCAGGCTAACTTGGACAAGGTACTTTATCTCTCTAAACCTGTTTTCAAAAACCGTAAAATAAAGATAATCGTATACAGGTCAAGAATCCCTCATCAACAATTCTGAACTCCAAAAAGCACTGATACCAAATGGTTTCATGTAACTCATTTGGCAACAAACCTGGCCTGAACTGATATAAGGCTATTTATAATCTTTACTTAGTTCTCTTAGAGTGAACATTTAAATGTTTACTGTAGAGACACAAATATGTTTGATTCTAGTATATTTAATACACCTTGCTAGGGATGCTGTGTATTGTCTATGTACCATAGTACTTTTCCAAAATCCTAAAAAAAAATGCTGAAATCTGATATACATCTGGCCCCAAGGATTTTAGATAATGAATTGTGAAGTATAATTAGAATATAACAACAAAAATACCTTTATTTGGAAGTTCTGCTTTAGAATTGAAAGCAAAGTATATATTTTAGCAGTATTAGAAAATAAAATATATTTGGCAGTTTTACATTGTAGAAAATAATTGTTATTAGGTTATTTGCTTGAGAAGCATGAAACAAATTGTAAACTACAGTGTTAAAAATGAAAAAAACTCACTGCCATCGAGTTGGTCCCGACTCTTAGCAATCTCTCCTTGGGTTGCCAAGGTGGTATCTTTACAGAAGTAGATTGTCTTCGTTCTGAGGAGTGGCTAGTGGGTTTGAACCTCCAGCCTTCTGGTTAGCAGTCAGAATACCTTAGGCACTATGCCACCAGAGCAAGGAAGGAAATGTCTTCACTCTTCTGTGTTTAGGATTGAAATCAGGACTCCTAAGCAAGAGATCTTGAAAGGGAAACAGTACGAGCCAAAAATTATTTACTGCTTTGAGTCTGTGTGCATTTTCAGATACTGTCCCTTATGCCTGGAATGTCCTTCCAGTTTATTTAAGGGAAATTCTCAAGCATCACCTTTTGTTTGAGCTATTCACTGACTTCTAAATCAAAATTAATTTCTGCTTCCCTTCCTCAACCTCAATTGCAGCAAGTATCACCAGCATTTGAATTATTACATGTCTTTTCCTATACTAGACAGTTAGTTCATGTATTCCTTTTTTTATTGTATGTCCTTATTCACTCATTGATGTATATATAGTAAGGGCTTAATAAATGTTGATTGAATACATGAAAAAATGAATGATTAAATGAATGTTCTAAGAGCATAGTTAAGTGGTAGCTTTTAGAATTAGTAGTCATTACTAATCGTTAATAATCACTAACCTTGACACAGCAACTCCAACAATGGGCTCAGATATAGCAAGGATAGGGAGGCTGCCACAGGACCAGGCAGTGTTTTGTTCTGTTGTACCTAGGGTTGCTATGAGTCAGAGCCGACTCGATGGCACCTAACAATAACATCAACAAACTTATCAAAACATGATTTTTGGTATTACATCAAAAGTGAAAAGACGAGAACAGCTTTTGAATTTAAGGTCCCTTGTTGTGTGTGAGTATAGTTTAAAATGAAGTGGGAAAAAAAAAAAAAAAAAGCAGAAAGAGTGAGGTAGGCAGGTGAACAACTTGTATTCTTTCTTGGCTTGGCAA